TTGGAGGCTAGGAGAAGTTGTGCAGAGAAAGCAATAAAAGTTGTTAGAACAGTCTTGCGTCGCCAAGCGAAATTTCTGTCGTCGGGCGACAGTGGGCGAGAATGGACCAATTTTGATGTTGCCTCTGCCTTGCTTCGCGTCTAGTTCTCCAGGAGAAAATAAAGAGAGTCTTTGGGTGAAGCTTGGTGTCTTCGGGCGACGGTAGGTATTTTTTCTCAGTTGGGGACGTGGTGCAATCTAGGCCAAATGTATATAAGTCGTCGCCAAGTGAAGCTTTATGTCGTCGAGCGACGCGTGCGAAACATAATTCGTTTATATTTCATTTTGTTTCATTTTTGTTTGGGGATGGTTTTGGGGGTGATATTTATTCTCCCAATTCCATCAACCTCATTTTTGTATTAGTTTAGATGACAACACTAGGGCTTTGCTTATGGATGATTAGCGGTGGATTTCTCATTGATCGTCGCTGACAAACCGGAAGATTTGTGATTTATCTCTTCTCCTCTCTATGTATTTATCTTTTGTTGTGTTTTGTATGTATATTTACTTTGAACTTGTGTATATTTGTCACCCATGGAATTATACTAAACTTGCTTTACAAATCTTTGTGGATTGTTGTCTTAGATTTTTGCTATGTGCTAGGGATTTAAGTTGTTATACATATATACTGCTTAGATTCTTATTTAGGATGATTATATGTTAGTTTCTGAACTCTAGAGATAGATTTAGAGTTTGCATCTACTTGGGTATCAGAGCTTAATGCCTCTGTATGGTTGTATTATGCTGAGAGATCGTCAGTGCGATTACATAGTTATCTTCTGTGTTGTTGAGGAGGTAGAGAGATCATTTACTTGGTGATACAGTCGGTCTCTCGTTTGGGTTCGAAATGACTTAGGTTGTGAGTGATACGTAGTGACATCGATGAGTATTTTTAGGTTGAATTTAATTGGTCGATATATTTAAGTCTGTGATGAGTAGATTATATGCAGGCTTGATAAGTTATTCTTTAGTTTTTTCTTTTGTTTACATTTATTTTCTGTCGATACTTTTCTTTTCAACCCATTTATCCCCAAACTCATTAACGTATGATTTGTCAAATGGTGATTCAATAACCAATCTCTATGAACACGATACAATATAACCTAAATATCACCCGATAAAATTAATACTTTACTTTTTGCTTGCCGCTTTATCGCTCCAACACTCGACCTGATCGAGGAAATTCAGTCGGGGGAAGCTCTCTGTGAGGCCACACTAAAACAAAAGATAACTTTGCATTACGACGCCAAAGTCATAAAACGCGAGTTCCAAGTCGGCAGTCTAGTCCTGTAGAGAAATCATAAAAACTCGCACGAGGGGAACTTTTCACAAACTGGGAAGCCCCTTACCGCGTTCGAGCAAGAACGAACAACGAGGTATATTACCTTGAAAAATTAGATGGGGAACAACTTGCTCGACCATGGAACACAGAAAAGCTAAAACAAATTACAGTTAGTCCTAACAATACTATGTTTAGGCTTAACAGCTGGCTTGTCCCGTTCAACATGCAACAGGGCACACCCAGCCACGGAAGCGTGTTACGGTATGGATGCAACATCCCAAATCCGAAACTAAAATACAGGCTCCCGCTCATTAAACGAGCAGAGCCTTAGCCCAACGGGGATACCTCGACCGAGCTTTTCCATCACAGTACCAATGAGGCAGAACATCCAACTCGCGATGGGAAAGTTCACGCTGAAGAATCAGGACCCCGATCGCGATCTTTGTCTTGTTATCATGCGGAACCAAACTCTATTTCCTCGACATGTTCCCTAAACTGTCGCGCACTAATTCTGTCAAGCAAGAATCCCCACACTAAAACAAATAACATGTTGTAAAGATAAATAACGATGAAGAAATTAAATTCTCAACAAGCAAACAACATAGAATCATACAACCAAAGACATTAAAGTGCCGACCACGAAGGCCGACATTGTTAAAATATTACAAAAAGTCGAGCATAGCCCATTATCCGAATATTAAAAAAATTACAGGCAAGCATGCCTAAACAAAAATAGTCAAAACAACAAAGTAAACTAATCCTCATGCACGTCTTCCCTAACATTTGAATTCCCCTCGACATGAGGCTCCCTATCTTCCTCGACCCCGAGAGAGGAACTAGGAGGAGGCACTATCTGGCCGTCGACAACCTGGTGAAATGGGTCAGTCTCTTCGATGACGAGCTCAACCCCTGGATTCACGATCTTGAGTTAGGCCACTGCATTATCAAAACTCATATCAATAACACCCAGGAAATCCTACTCGATTTTTTGAATCTGAGAAACCAGTTTAACTCGGGTCTTCAAGGCTTTCACCTCGTTGGGTTCGTCCTACGCAGGAGCTGCAACAGTCTTTAAACTAGAAATTTCATCCTCAAGACTTTTCTTCTCAAGCAGCCAACCACCCTTCTCCGTAGATAAGTTGCTTACCTCCTCCTCCTTCTTCTTCAGCTCGTTGGCCGAGAGACAGAACTCGTCTTTGTAACTACCAAGGTCAGATTCTAGCTGGTTTGCCTTCACCTCGAGGGTGGATTTCATTGTATGCAGTTTCTCCACCGCTGCGGCAGAGCCAGTCTCCTCGCCAGTGAATACCATATCCATATCCAAAACCCTCATCATGGCAGCGACATCTTCCGTTAGTCTTTTTCTCTTGCCCGTCGAATCGAGGCCCCCGATGACCAAAGACTCTGCCCGAGGCACATCCAAAGGAAACCCTTCAAAGAATCTCTTCTTGAAGATGCAAAGAGGTAATGTGAATTTAGGTTTGGGAGCATCCTTCGTAAGGTCTAGGATGTCGCCCTCCGTCGAACAACCCCTCTTTCTACCTGATTTTTCCTATAAAAGAGGAGCTTGATCGATGACCGAAGATGAAGAAGAAGTACAAGAACCATCCTTGGGCTGGTTCGGGGTGGGACGAAGTGACTCTTGGTTATTTTCTTCAAGACTTTCGCTCTACTCTGCGCCATCTTAAGCACACGCTCTGTCAGACTTAACATCTTATCTACAACAAATAGCAAACACAAGTCAGTACAACGAGGAGAAAAACACACGAGTACACTAAAATAAAATAAAGTGCAGATACCTAAAAGCACTATGATGTCCTCGAAAGTTTCACTTTCGAGGAGCTCCTTAGTATTGATGTGTCGAGCCTCGTATATGGGCTAACCGTTATTGTCGAGGACATCCTCCCAGTTCCTCGTCTTCCACTTGTCAGGGAAGAAACCATCTATAAACTTAGTAAGTTTTCTATATGACTCTTTGTCCTCGTCATCCAAATCGCCCGTACTTAGTAAGGTAATGATCCGTCCCCTTCAGGAAATGACTCTCACACCAATGAAGAGGAAACTTTGAGACCATTTCTGACTCCTCGTTCCCTTCTTCATCATAGCACACATTCCCGTCCTCGTCTACCATGATATCCCGCTCGAACACTTAATCGAAGGCTTCTTGTGCCACATGTTTAATGAGGTAGTATCGATCCTTGAAGTCACAGACATAGTTCATGAACGTCTTAAACAGCCTCTTCAGCTGCTTCAGGGAGACCCAACTGTGTTTTACGTTAAAAGTCTATCATTGGAGGTGGAAGCAACAGAAGAACAGTGGGATCATGGTTCCGAGCTCGAGATGTCGACACACGATCTCAAATGCTTGAATAAAGGAAATCACGTTCAGGTGTAGCTGGGAGGGCGCTAACTCCATATGACCAAAGACCCCAATCTTAAAATCAATAAAGGGCAGCCGAAGTCCCAATTCCTTTAAGACGAAGTCATACATTTGAAAGAGGTTCCCCTTGTAGTACGAGTAGATCCTCCCGGCCTCAGAAGGTTTGAAAATATTCCAGTTCAGATTGAATCCCTCTTTGCCCACACCATGCTCGATGATCCTAAACGCGTCACCCTAGAAGGCGACATAACGAGAGGTCATACTCCACGATTCCGGCCCGATCCAAGTCAACTCAGGATCAATAACCGTGTCGATCAGTTGGATGGCCTCGGCACTGCGAGCCGTCATACCTGAAAAGCAGAGGAAAACAGTGAATTTGACAATCAAATCAAATCCACCCTTCCATCGCAAATCAAGTAAAAGAGCATACGAAGGCACGTGGACAAACTTCCTGACTAAAGCCCCTACTCAACGGTAAAGAATGAAGTTATGACAAACCTTCCTCGACTCAGGGTTCGATTGGCCCGCCTACGAAACTACAGTGAGGACCCCCTCGATGCTTGCAAATTCCTGAGTTTCACGGGGTAACACGCCCCCGACACATGAACTTACTCATGGATTCATGAGTATCACAGGGAAACAGGCCCCCGACACATGAACTTCATCATGAACTCATGAGTTTCGTGGGGAAAAGCATCCTCATCACATGAACTTCATCATGAATTCATGAGTTTCACGGGGAGAACCTCTTCGACTTATGAACTTCACCAGAAATCAAGCATACCCTAAGTTTTACTAGCCTAAAATTCATGAAAAAAATGAAGACAAAGGAGAGAAACTTACTGGATCGAAGAAGAAAATAGAGGCTGGTGACATTCCGGCGGCAACAACGGCAGAAGAACACTCTGAGAGTCGGAGGTCCAGAGAGGAGTCGGAGAGAGCAACTAAATTCAGGGTAAGAAGCAAAGTTGCAAATGGCACCAATTCACATGTTTTTATAGTAAACTCTCCTTGCGTGGGAAACATGACATCGCATGGGAAGACGTGTTGTTGAAATGACATGCCATTACCCCTACTCCTGATTCGTAATAACCATACGCCTAGGCCATTATTGCGCATTAAATTCTACAATGTGTACCTCAAGAAACATATCTTTTGTCTTACCGAGACCCTCAGATCCCCGGGTATCGAACACAAATAAAAAAGTTTTGCATTCTGTCAATGGGCACATCCCCGGGGAAGCAACGAAGAGAAGTTACGGACATCATGACAATTCATGAGCTGGGCTGAGGTTACAACATGGGGGGCGAGCAGATGGAACTGTCGACCGCGACCCATACGTGTTATCTCGCCCATGCAAACGAGATAATAACGGTCGCAGGCAGGATACCATCCATATACATGTTTGCCCACAAAATGGAAATCGCTCGAGGTGAACATCGTTGTCCCAAGCATATGAGCACAAGTACAAACAAAGGACCACCTCGCACAAGTCCTCTTGATCTTCCTGACATGCGGGCTTACTCTAAGCCATTACTCCTTCGCTTAGGAACAACGACTTGGGGGGGGGGGGGGGGGGCTTTTGTTCTAGACTGGGCTCGGGCACGACCCAATTCGCCCTCGCGCCAACAACGGTCCAATTGATGGCATAATCCATTGGGATCCAATCTGGACATGTATTACCCACGTGCCCCTCACTTGAGGACACGTCATCAACGTGTTCAACACTCTTTGGAATCGTTACGCCCTTCGTAACGGACGTGGTCAACCCACTATAAGTGGAGTTCACTAAGCACTTAACCCAGGATGATGGCACGTGCTGCTCATCCTCACTGTCACGTGAGAATCCTGACAGTCATCCATTATGGGTCTGAATACTCAGTCCATAATGGAGACTTTGACCCAGTGCTGGAGGCACTATAAATACACTCTTTCACTAGAGGGTCGGGTATTCTATTCACTCTCACCATTTTTGTAATTGCTCTCTTTTCACTCTGAACCTTACTTTGACATCAGAGTATCTTGTATGTACACTCTCTCATTTTCTCCAAGAACCGTAAAAACTCAAGTGTTGCAGACCACTGAAGATTCTTCTGACCCTGATAAATTCAAAAACTATTAGTAAAAATATACATCCAAACCACAAAACACAACACTACAATCTTCTGACCCTGATAAATTCAAAAACTATTAGTAAAAATATACATCCAAACCACAAAACACAACACTACAAAAAAATGTCTCAATGTATTGATCAATGACCTCAATAACTCATATACTGAAATATTTCCTCCGTAACGATTTATAAACAAATTTTATTTTTTAGATTAATTGAATAATTAATATATCTGATCTATATATATATATATCATATACATTAATTATTCAAGAAATTAAAAAATAAAATTTATTTATAAATAGTTAGGGAGAAGGAATGAAAATTTTCTTTCTTTCTTGTATTGGTGTTCAAAAATTTGAAATATAATTTAAAGCAGTTTGGGTCTGTTGCTTTGTGTTGGGGAGGAAAAGAAATCTTGGGATAATAATGTTGCGTAACTTTTTACTTTAAATGGAATGAATAATCTTGCTGTAACAAAAGTAAAAAGTAAAATGATTGAGAATAAGATATGATGAATAAAAATTTCATGGACTTTCCGTCTATTAAATATAGTGACGGTCCACAACACCATGTGTATCTTCCATCTAATTTATTAAATCAAAGACCTTTTGTTACCACTAACTGCTCTCATTTTCTCCACGCTAAGTCCGTGACCACACCATGTCACCATCACTTTTTTTCTGCTTAACGACCACACCACACTTTATATTAAAAAATTATAATACTAGTCGCTGATTGAATATGTCTATTTATATAATTAATTGAGCTAGCTTAACGAGATTAATATCAAAGTTTAAACTTAGTAAAAACATAACACAATCAAACATAAATTTACTGTGCCTAAAAAGGTGCACTACATAGTCACAGTTTTACAAGTGAGTGAGTGATTCAGCATCTCTGAAAATACATAGAAAACAAAAACATAGAAGAAGAAGAAGTATCAAAGCCTGTGTCTCTATCTATCTCCCTCACCTTTTCTTCCATCCTACTCATTCCACTCCATCATTCAATAACCAACCGTTTATTTTTAGTTACATCTTTTTCCAAACACTGTCTACTCCCTTTCAATACCAAAACCTCTTTACCTTCAATAGGTTTGTTATTTTTTTTCCTTTTCAATTCTCTTTTCTTACTATTATTACTCTTGTGGGTCCTAGAAAGTTTAGCATGGGATGCTCATGAACATGCTCACTACATTCATGCACTATTAGTATTGCCTATACAATTTTTTATCATATAGGTTTGTTCAGGAGAGAAAATAGTATAAGCTTTTTGTTTATGCTTTTAGATTAAGTCATGGCTCTTTAAATATTGTTATTATTGAATTAAGCTGTTAATAATCCGTTTTTACATGATTTTTCCTTTTAGGCCTTGGTGTTGAGAATTAGTATATAGTATTGTTTTGAAGTTTTGTTCAACTGCATAGAAAAATTGTCCAATTTTGGATTTGGAGCAACATGTCTGAGAGGAGATTGAACATCAATGCTCCTCTGATGTCTGTGAGGCGAAATTCAGCTACATCGCCGTCGTTAACAGAATCAAAGAAGAGGATATTAGAGAAAAGACAGAGTCTTGCGAGTTATAAGTCCGAAATGGCATTGGATCAGGTTACTGAGCCTGTTGCAGTGCCTTTCAATTGGGAGCATATACCTGGAAGATGCAAAGGGACTAGTACTGGATCTGAAGTAGTTCAAATTCCTCCTAAGAACACTAAAATCGTGCCAATTCCTCGGCTTCCTCCTGGAAAATCTGTCAAATCTGGTAATCAGCTATTGGAAAAGGATTCTGTTGTTGCCAAGAATTTCACTTCCTCGAATAAATCAAAGTCTTTTACAGGAAATTTCGTTAAACTAGATTGTGATAGAGAAAGAGAAGCTGACAAGAGAATTGAGAGTAGAAGATTTAGTGTTAAGGAGAAGGAGAAGAAGAATGACTATGATGACAACGCCTATTCGGACGCGGTTGAAACGCTATCACATTTAACAGAATCGTTCTCTGTGAACTGCAGTGTGAGTGGAGTAAGTGGATTGGATCATGATAATTTGGATTCAAACAGGTTTGGAACTTTTTCTACTGATCAACAAACAAGAGACTTCATGATGAACCGATTCTTGCCAGCCGCGAAGGCTATGACATTACAGCCTTCTCAATACTCTTCAAAGAAGCAATCTGTACTAGTTGAACAGCAGCCCAGAGATGTTAACAAATTGATTCAGAATGCCAAGAAGCCGTTGGTGACCGATATTGTACCGTATACTGGTATACGTCAAGAGGAAGAAAGTGAAGATGAAGATCAAAATGAAGGTGATGTTTATGATACTGATAATTCTGATAATGTTTTGGGTAAAGGATGTGGTTTGATGCCGAATTTACAGCTTAGAAATTCGTTGTCCATGTTAAATCCTGTGGCTGGGATGAAAATGAAGAATCAAGTTTCTTTGCCTTCTTCTGCTTGTGAGGTTGTGAAACCTATCAAAAGATCTCATATTAGATCTTTTAGTCCAATTCCAGCTGTGAAAAAGGTAAAAACAATTCATCATGTTTGTTTTTATTTTTAGAGGAGTAGAAAATGATTTCAGAGATATAGAATTGATTTTGACATGTTTGGATTTTCTCGATTAGAATTGATTATAACTTGAAGTTAGAATTTGTAGTTTTTTCTTCTATAGTTGATTTTCAGCCTTTAAGTTTATAGTTCAATCCACTTTTACACTGATGTATCCAAATATGAATCACTTGACATTCAACTTATTTTTACTTTTAGTCGGAATCAATTTTACGAAATCAATGTTTGTCATGAATCCTTGATGTAGGCTTGGGAAGCAATTCACAGAAACAAGTCAAGCACTGTAACTGCGACATCGCCTGATATGCAAGAAAGAAAGAAGAGATGGAGCAGTGAATCAAACAGGTTTGCTTATTCAGGTGAGTTGCTTCCAGATAGACTCTCTCCGTTCCGGCGTTCACGAGCAGCTGCAGCAGGCATATCTCCTTGTAGAACTAAACCTCAATCTCCTTTTCGTGGCGCAAAGTTGCCCGAGATTGAAAACAATAAATCTGGTAATTTGAAATTCCACAGTACAGGACTAGTAAAATCTCAAGGAGTTCCGAACCAAGGAGCGAAAAGAGGTTCATATTCCGGAAGTTTGGCAATCGAAAAAACATTGTACATAGATAATTCAAGTACTGTCAAACTATCATCTTCGAATTTAAGTTATGTAGATAACAAAAGGAGGATCGATGCTATGACTGCAGATTTCGACAAAAGAAGAGAGAAAGAAAGAAATTCTAGCATAGAAAATTCTCAAGATACAAAACATGTACAATCTTTGAGTTTGGAAGAAAAAGTCACATTGGATTATGAAGTGTTAAGTTCTTTAGGTGGAAACTCTACAACTTTGTCCGGTATGCTACACCATATAGCGAAAGAATATGAAGCCGAAGTATTGACAACTGATCAATATATTAACCACGAACGCGTGTCAGTGCAACCTGTGCAACGCACATTTGATGAAGATTGGGATACTAACAGCAACAAGCAAATTGTGTTAGCTAGTTCTCCTCTAGCACCACCATTGCCAAAATCTCCTTCCGAATCTTGGCTTTGGCGTGCGTTGCCTATAAATTCGCTTAAGAATTCTTTCATACATTCAAATCAAGGGACAAAGTCTCATGCTAAAAGGAATGATTCTGATGCTGCATCAAGCAATGTCAAGTGGGAAACAATAGTGAAAACATCGAATTTGCATCATGATCATATCCGTTATTCTCAGGTAATAATAATCCTATTAATTCCTTTGTCCATAACTCGGTTTACATCAACTCAACTATGGTTAACTTTCTCTGCAGGAACTGCCATCGCGTAAATCTCATCATTCAAAATCATAAAGGCGAAACAATGGTAGTGTTTTTCTTGAATTGTATAGTATATAGAGGAAAATCAAAACCAGTTTTGATGATCAATGAGTGTAAAGCTTATTTTGTGGCGCTTTCGATGGATTTGGTATTTCTTAACCTTGCCTAGAGAGGCGCATATCGATTAATGCTGTATTGCCGTGTGCCTTTCATCATGTTATTTTAAGTCTTGTTGGTTTCCTGCTGCTTGATCAGAGGAATGATTCTTTGCATTCCCTCATCTGGAGGAATCAGCAGTTATTTTTTATGTAAAATTGATACGAGTGATCATTCATGCTTTATTGATTGATATCCTTCTGATATGCATAGAGAAGGATTCTCTTCAAAACATTTTAGTTTGTTTTTCATTGGCACTTTCAGACGCTTATGTTCAAGTATGTAAATCAAAATATTCTTAGTTAAGATAAATTTTGAAATTCTCGTGTAGGGGAACTTAGTTCTCCCTTCGTCACAAAATAAAAGTATTTTAAGGTTATTATTCACATATTAAAAAAAGTAACGAGTGAAGGAATAAATGTAACAATTTTATAAAATTATCTTTAATTTTTATTGGTTACACATACATTGTCATAAATGTAGAGTGAAAATTAATGTCTTAAAAGTAGTGCAAACAATATTAATTGAAGATAAAATTGATACAAATGAATTAATGTTGCATTGAAAAAGTAAAACGACACATGTTTTGGGACATATTTTTTAAGCTAAAAAGACATTTATTTTGAGACGAATAGATTATATAACTACATAACTGAATACTAAGTGTAGGTACTTTAAATCCGTATGTAAAAGAATGTTAAAGTTGAAAATTTGAACTACATGTATTTGAAGTAGGTATGTTATTCAAGTAATGATATTGAAGTGACCGTGAAAACAGGCGATAATAATATCGTTATTCACTATTTTTATGTTAAATAACAATAGAGGAAGATGAGAAAGATGACTTGTTGAACAAGTCATCTTAGTTAGTTAGTTAGAGAATTAGTTGGTGATATGTTTTTATGTTATGACAATTGTAAATTAATCTCCTAGTGTCAATGCTTCTATAAAAGCACAGGTTGTACTCATTGATCGATAATGAAAATAATGAGTTCATTCACTATATTCTTCAAACTTTAGTTTTATTGTTATTGTATCATAGAGCCTAAAGGTTCAACAATAGCGAGAAACAACAATGGGGGTTATCAGGGTGCAGATGCATCACTCAATCCCTATTTTATTCATCCATCAGAAAATCCAATCACCGTGCGCGTGACGCCGCAATTGGAATGAGAATCTAATTATCATGGTTGGGCGAAAGGAATGCAACAAGTTCTTGTTACCAAGAACAAATTCAAGTTTGTGGATGGTTCTATACCCGTTCCACCCGTCGATGATCTCAATTGCACTGCATGGGAAAGGTGTAATAATCCGGTTCACTCACGGCTAATCAATTTCATGAAACCGCAAATTGCAAGGAGTGTGCTTTACATCGAACACTTGGTGGATGTCTGGAACGATCTCAAAGAACGATACTTACAAGGTGATAAAATTCGTGTTGCTGCATTGTATCAAGATATTTCCAACTTTAAGCAAAAAGAATTGACAGTTTTAGAATTTTTCACGGAAATGTGTGTATTGTGGGAAGAACTTGACCAGTTCAGGCCCATGCCTCGATGCATATGTCCTATTGTTTTCGCTTGTGTAGCTATGCGTAATACAAGATTATTCAAGAAAGAAGATCAAATCATTCAATTTCTTATGGGATTGAATCAACAATATCAAAGTGTCAAGTCTCAAATCTTGTTAATGGATCCTCTATCAACCATCAACAAAGTCCTTTCAATAGTGTTGCAAGAAGAAAGACAACAAGGCTATGGAAATAGTGTTCGTGTTGATGTGAAAGAACTTAAAGCAGAGGTACTAGCTAATGTTGTGGAAAGTAATAGAAACAATTGAAACTTCACCAGTGGGAGAGGATTCAATCAAGCAGGAAGAGGTGGAGGAGGTTTCTTCAAAGAAAAAGTCTGTACATATTGTGGCAAGAATGGTCACACTGTAGATGTATGTTACATGAAGCATGGATATCTGCCCAACTGGGGAAGAGGAAATGCATATGCTAACAGTGTTAGAATTGATGTTCAAGAGATCAATGTTGATATGAAGATGAAGGACAATGATGAAGGGAATATGTCTTTCACTCATAAGCAATATCATGGATTTCCAGCTCTTCTTGAAAGGCACAGTATTGATGGAGGCAAACATGCATACAACATGGTGAAATGAGAAAGCATGAGTTGTACTTGTGAATCCAAGTTCAAAGATCATGATCATAGCTGGATTTTAGATACATGAGCAACTGGTCATATATGCAACTCTCTTGATCGACTTAGTTCATATAGTCAAGTTGTTGCCTATATAATTGTTGGCTTGTCGGATAAGTCACAAATTCAAACACATATGATTGGAATAGTGAAAATACATGATATGTTTGTTTTAGATAAGGTGTTATATCTACTTGGTTTTAATGTGAATCTTATCTCAGTATCAAGATTGTCTAGGGATCATAATTGTATGATAGTGTTTGAGAATGACTCATGCATTATACATGAAAGAGGAACTATGAGGAAGATTGGTTTGGCTAACAAATTGGATGGTTTATACTACTTGAAGTTCAGTCAGGTAAAGTTAAATCCCAGTGTTCATGTTGTTGATACTGATCCTAGTAAGTTATGGCATTTAAGGTTGGGACATTTATCTCATGATAGAACTAGAATTTTGAATAAAAGGTACAATTACATTCATGTTTTAGCCAAAGAATCGTGTGATGTATGTCATATGGTAAAACAAAAGAGGTTACCTTATGCTTTAAGTCATTATAATGCAAAACAAATTTTTGATTTGATACATGTTGATATATGGGGCCCTTTCTCTACAACATCTATTCATGAATTTAAGTATTTTTTTAACTATACTTGATTATCATAGTAGATATCTTTGGGTGATCTTGCAGAAAACCAAAGGAGAAGTTCCTAATTGTTTAAAAGGATTCATTAACATGGTCAAAATTCAATTTGAGAAATATGTTAGAACAATCAGAAGTGACAATGGCCCGAGTTTGATAAAAAAACTACATGTGCAACTGTATGAACTTGAGTTTTACTACCTCAACAACACTACAATTCAAACACCTGAACAGTTAAAAATCAATGAACCCACAAATATAAACACTCAACAATTGAACCTTGGTCACAGATGATGACATACTTATCATTGAGATAAGCACTGACAACGATTGCTCTAACCCTCCTTGTACCACTAACCAAATCACTTCTCAAAACAATTACCATCCCACTCATCAACCTACAAGACAACCTACTTGAACCAGTTCTTGACCTGCATATCTTAGTGACTATGTATGTCTTTCCACTTCAAAACCACTATATCCAATTACTTCCCATCTAAACTATACTAACCTTTCCCCCCACATCTTACATACATTCTAGCCATCAACGAGGATAGTGAACCATCCTCGTATACTTCTTCTAGCAAAGATCCTAAGTGGATGGTTGTTATGAAGGCAGAAACTGATGCTCTCCATGCTAATAAAAATTGGGAATACACTCAACTTCCCCTTGGAGAAACACCTATAGGCAACAAATGGGTGTTCAAAATCAAAAGACATGCAGATGGATCTATTGAAAGATACAAAGCTAGGCTAGTGGCAAACTGGAGGGCTAGACTACTTTGAGACTTTCTCTATAGTTGCAAAAATGTCTAAGGTAAGAGTTATACTTGCTTTAGCTTCAATAAAGGGATGGCATATTCATCAACTTGATGTCAAAAATGTTTTTTTCCATGGTGATATTAATGAATTTGTGTACTTGAAGGTCCCATAAGGTGTTACTTCTCCTGAACCTGACCAAGTTTACAGACTTCGAAAATCTCTATATGACTTGAAACAAGCCAGTAGACAAAGTTTGACAAGCTTACATCTTTTCTTCTGCAACATGGATTCACTCAAGGTCAGGATGATTACACTCTATTCATAAAATTTGTTGCCGACACATTTTTGGCTCTACTAGTATATGTAGATGACATATTACTAGTTGGCCTAAACTTGACGAAATTTAATTCTCTTAAAGAAGCTTTGAACTCAACCTTCTGCATTAAAAATTTAGGAGAGTTAAAATTCTTCCTAGGCCTATAGGTTGCACAATCTACAAAATGAGTCTCCATTTGTCAAAGAAAGTACTGCTTGGAGCTGTTTGAAACTTCATGCACAAGCAATTGTAAGCCTGCCAGTACTCTACTAGATCCAACCATCAAACTTAGCTTTGATAATAGTCCTTCATTAAGTGATGTTACAGCCTACAGAAGGCTTGTTCGTCAGCTGATATACCTCACCACTACCAGGCTTGGCATAACACATGTTACTCAACAACTTATACAATATATGTCTTCTCCTACTGAAAATCATCACAAGGCTGCCATTAGAGTATTGAGATACTTGAAAAATGCACATGGTTGTGGTCTATTATTCTCTCGAAACTCTGTTATGCAATTGTAGGATTTAGTGATGCTAACTAGGGTGGCTGCTTGGATACTCGCAGATCTATCTCAGGCTTCTGTTTTTTTCTTGGTCATTCTCTAATTTCATGTAAATCTAAGAAGCAAAGCATTGTCCAATGTTCCTCAGCTGAAGTTGAATATAGAGCTCTTGCAACAACTACCAGGGAATTGCAGTGGCTCACTTTCCTACTGAAAGATCTTGGTCAAGCATGTGTTCGACAATTTGTTCTTTATTGTGATAGCCAAAGTGTTATGCATATAGCTTCTAATCATGTCTTCCATTAAAGAACAAAGCACCTTGATATTGATTGTTACATTGTTCAATTAAAAGATTAAGAAGTACTCATGAAGCTTCTCCTGATTGACTCTAGTTCTCAAGTTGCTGACATTTTCACCAAAGCTTCTAATCCTCGACCATTCCATGC